TGACTTCTGCAGAACAGTTTCCTTCCACCTTTTTTTTTTCCTGAATAATTTTATTGACTCTGACCCAAACTAGCAATAACTTGTCCCTCATGCTAAATCTCTACCTCAACCACTGTATTTAATATTTGCAGACTACTCGCAAGGCCTGGTAAAATGCACTTGAAATGACCATGAGGAGCATGTACACTTTTGTGTGCAGGGGCAGAGTTACTAGGTTACAGGGTTACTGGCTTGCACACTAACAGATGCATGAATTTCTTGCCCTTGCTGACAATTTTAAGGGATTAGAAGTGGCTCAGGAGAGGAGGTGAATAGACATGCATCTAGCCAAAGGTTCAGCAAGGCCTGGGGAGCTCTGTCACTTAGCTGCTGTATCTGCTGTGCCACCCGGCCTAGTGAAATAACTTAATGCCTCAAGCTGAGTGATGTATCGGTGCAAAGAGCCTTGGCCAAGAGTGAGAAAGACAAAATGCCTTTTCTGTGCCTGTGGCCAATGCTCTTACAAACTTCCTGTTGTTCAGCATTTGCTCAGATCACAGCTGATCCCAGTTTTCTCCATGCTGGGACTATCTCGCACTGAGGGAGCCTTTGTACACACTGCAGTCTGTTCAGGCTGCCTCTGGGTTGCTGCTGCTCTTGCTGCAGGGCAGGTGTTCCTGGTGCTTAGTTTGCACCTGACACTCAAAACCTTCTGCCCAAATTCTCACTGCTGTCTCTCTGGGACGGCATTTCTTAATTTCACTTCTGATGGTGAAGCTCTTTCTGATGTGTTCCTGTGAGAGATTCCTTCCCGTGTGTTCTTCCTAAGTGCTCCAACAAAAGCCTGGCATGTCATTCCCTCCTTAGGTATGATGCCACTGGATGAAGGAGGGTCAGAGACAGAGAGCTTGTATGAAATTGAGGGCATGAACAAGTGGATTCTCTACTTGTAAGTATGCACTGGTTGAACCAGCTGCTACTCTGCATGTAGGCTTGCACATTCTCTTGCTTGCTGTCGTGGCTGGGACGGGGTTTCTTGTTAGCCACTGGTTTCTGAGGAAGAGCCAGGGGCTGTGTGCTCAGGAGATGCAAACATTGTGGACAACAAACAGAGAATTTTGCTCTGGTACTGGTAAAAAGCCACTTCATGGTGAACAACCTCTTCACTTTGGGACCATGCTCTGAGCATCCTCTCCTGGCCCATGCAGCATGTCATGTGCTGGGCCTGTAGCAGCCAACCAGAGGTGACTATAGGCCAAAAAGGAGCCAGGAGATGTTTGTGTGAATGAACTGCAGTGTCTGAGTGAATGCACCAAGTGCCAGAGTTAGGGTTATGTTCCTCAGCCCTTTTCAGGGAAGGCCCCTGGAGAAGGGAGCAGAGGTGGCTTTGCTCTGCAGTCTGCAGGTGCAGCCTTGGGCCGGACAAGATTGACTGGCCAGCCCGGTTGACCCTTTGGCCATCTCTGCAGCCGTCAGTGGAGGCGTTGGAACCGAATGTTTCGTAGGAAGTGCAGGGATGTAGTGAAGTCCAAGTTCTTCTACTGGCTTGTCATCCTGCTGGTGGCACTGAACACCCTCTCCATCGCCTCTGAGCACCACTTCCAGCCAGAATGGCTGACCCAGGTGCAAGGTGAGCAAAGAGCCTGAGGGAGAGGGAGGGCCTGGGAGATCCTGCTGCCCTGGAGACATGCATGAACTCTTACTGTGCATGCACAACCACACTGGCATGGCACAGCACAGCACAGGGGCTGTTAGACGCATACAGATTTGCTTATGCACACAAACACAGCCTATACACAGGTGCGTGTGCACCATCCCTACTGCACTGTCACACAACTGCATATTGAACATGTGTGGTGCGTACAGTTATACATGCACAGCATATATGTTCTTAAGGACAAGGGTTTGCATGGTGACTATGCATAGTGTGTGTATATTTAGACCTCTACATAGTACACACATACACATAGTACACACAAGCACACATTGCATGCACTCATGCAGTATAGCCACACACATGTATGCCTGCAGTCACAATACCTGCACTCACACAAACACATACAGACACACACAGTACAGCTTTGCACACATGTACACAGCTCAGCCACACACACACACATGCATGGACTCAGATGCACAGTACAGCTGCATGCTCATGTACAAGCACACAGTTGCACATCACCCTTCTCCTCATCTTCCTCTCCTGTGTGCTCCCCGAAAAACAGCATTTGCTGCAGCTGCAGCTCAGGGCTTGGTGGGCAGAGAAGGGAGGTGAGCAGTACTGCCCTCCTTCCCTTCTTGCTGTGCCATGCTGAGCTTAAGAGGTCCATGCTCTGATGGACTGGGTCTCCTACCGCAGACAATGCCAACCGGGTGTTGCTCGCACTCTTTGTGGCTGAGATGCTGCTGAAGATGTACGCACTGGGCCTTCGCCAGTACTTCATGTCGCTCTTCAACCGCTTCGACTGCTTCGTGGTGTGTGCAGGCATCTTGGAGACCATACTGGTGGAGCTCGGCACCTTGTCACCCCTGGGCATCTCTGTGCTGCGTTGCATCCGGCTCCTCCGCATCTTCAAGATCACCAGGTTGGGGAGAGACCTCTGCAAGTGCTGGTGCCTTCACTGTCCCCAAGCATCATTGGCCTTGTCCCTGGGGAGAGCTGCAGCATGAACAGAGCTGATAGCTCCTAGGTGGAGAAACAAGGTCAAGCTGGGGATTTCTGTTTCCAGGACATGTTCTGGGAGTGGTGAGGAGCACAGAGTAGGGCTTGCTGAAAGTCTTTTGGCGTCCCACTCTCACTCTGGGTTCTGGGGTGTTGTAAATGGGGGTGCTGTGGGCTAGGACTCAATACTTCTCTTTTTGGCACCAACATGCTGTGTGTTCATCCCCCTTCCCTGTCCTGCCTGCTGGTGAGCGGTGCAGGCAGCTGGGTGTCTTGCCTGTGACACCATGCCTGGAGCTTTATTTCCACTATCTGGAGCCTGGCTGGAGCAGTCCTAGTGCCCGGCCTATGAGTGGTGCTGGTTCAGAGCCCCCCTTGCTGGGCTGCCAGCACATCCCCCTTGGCCAGGTGGTCTGTTCCCTGCACCTACCTAGTCCTGCCCACAGCCTTCCCCATCCTTCTCCCACACACTTCTGGCTTTCCTCTCCCCAGGTACTGGACGTCACTGAGCAACCTGGTGGCCTCCCTGCTCAACTCAGTCCGATCCATTGCCTCACTGCTCCTCCTTCTCTTCCTCTTCATCATCGTCTTTGCATTGCTGGGCATGCAACTTTTTGGGGGCAAGTTTGACTTTGAGGACATGGAAGTACGGCGCAGCACATTCGACAACTTCCCCCAGGCCCTCATCAGTGTCTTCCAGGCATGGGACTGTGGGGAGTGCAGAAGGGGGCTGGAGGACAGGCTGCCGGGAGTCTCGCCTGGACTCTGGGTCTCCTGGCAAGAACTGGGGCTCAGAGAGATGGGGGTTTGTGGGAGGCAATGTGGCTCTGAGGCAGGAGAAGGGAAATGCAACTGGGGACATAAGCAATAGTGCAGGTTCAGGGCTGAGCAGGGAGTTGGGGTTTAGTCATGGGGCGGTGAGGGTTTGGGGCTGGATCCAGGTGGTCAGGATTAAGCTGTGGGGTTGTGCTGTCCTCTGCTGTAGGGGCTCTTGAGTCCCTTTTTCTGCTCTGCTCACAGATCCTGACTGGAGAGGACTGGAATTCAATCATGTACGATGGAATCATGGCCTATGGGGGCCCATCCTTTCCGGGCATGCTGGTCTGCATCTACTTCATCATCCTCTTTGTTTGTGGGAACTGTATCCTCTACCTGCAAAGTCAGGCCCAGGCTCCTTGTACCCAGACCCATAGCATCAGCTGCACAGGACTGGGAAGGAGGGTCTTCCTTAAGTTTTGCAGTGCTTGCCTCAAACTTTTCAGTTCTGAGCAGCAAGAGAACAAACCACAGGCTTGAGGACTTGCATTGGTAGTGGCTGGTATCTGGACTGTAGAGGAAAGCACACCATGAGGCAGGTTTGGATAACCAGCAGGCAGAGATTCAGCCATCAGTCAATGCAGTAACAAGACTGAGCTGGACAGACTGAGCTAAAGCAGAGAGAGAGCCCCGAGCTGGTATGTCTGGGATCACAGAATCATAGAATTGTTTTGGTTGTAAAAGACCTTTAAGATCATAGAGTCCAACTGTCAACCCAGCACTGCCAAGCCCACCATAAACCATGTCCATAAGCACCTTGTCCACATATCTCTTAAATCCCTCCAGGGATGGTGACTTCACAACCTCCCTAGTCAGCCTGTTAAAGTGCCTGACAACCGTTTCAGTGAAGAAATTTTTCCTAATATCCAATCTGAATCTCCCCTGGCACAACTTGAGGTCATTTCCTCTCATCCTCTCAGTTGTTACTTGGGAGAAGAGAGCAACCTCTACCTCTGCACCCTCCTTTCAGGGAGCTGTAGAGAGCGATAAGGGCTCCCGTGAGCCTCCTCTTCTCCAGGCTGAACACTCCCAGCTCCCTCAGCCGCTCCTCACAGGAATTGTGCTTCAGATCCTTTCCCAGCTCCGTTCCCTCCTCTGGACATGCTCCAGCACCTCAATGTCTTTCCTGAAGTGAGGGGCCCAAAACTGAACAGTAGGTTTGAGGCGAGGCCCTCACCAGAAGGGCGATCCCTGCCCTGATCCTGCTGTCCACACTGTTTCTGATGCTGGCCAGGATGCCGTTGGCCTTCTTGGCCACCTGGACACACGTCGGCCCATATTAAGCCACTGTCAACCAACACCCCCAGGTTCTTTTCCCCTGGGCAGCTTTCCAGCCCCTCATTCCCAAGCCTGTAGCACCACTGGGGGTTGTTGTGACTCAAATGCAGGACCCAGCACTTGGCCTTGTTGAACCTCA